AGAGAGAGAGAGAGAGAGAGAGAGAGAGAGAGAGAGAGAGAGAGAGAGAGAGAGAGAGAGAGAGAGAGAGAGAGAGAGATTAACACTTGAGTTGAAAACCGTGCATGTTGTTTGGTCATTCTGTTTTGTTTCCCTTTTCCAGCATCGATTAACAATTGGCCAGTTTCTCCTAGAGTGGGACTGGGTAGTGAGTCTGGATGGGCCTCTACTTTTCATGAGAAGCCATTCCTACCTATCTATCACATCTTGCTGATGAAGTGTTCTGTGTTCTATCTCACCACCCTTTTCATCTTTACCCCTGTCCCTTACTTGCTGCTGCACTGCCGCTACCCCATGTAATTCCCTCTCCTCTGCATGTTATCCTCCTCCTTATCGCTCCTTCCTCCCCCGCCTCCACATCCACGATCGCCCACTGTAATGCCTGCTTTGCATCCACTCTCGCTACCATCATAAGTCGTGCTGATCTCGCATGCACAGTCTGCAAGTGCTACGCAGGCCAATCCGTCACCCCACTTGGTCCGGCAAGCTCGTCAGGCCTGTTCGAGCACCTGCAGTCCTTCACAGCTAACTCATCCCTCTCCCCCTTCTCCTGTCTTCTGTCTTCTCCATCTTACCATCCTCTCCTTCCTCCGTAATTTCTTCTTCCCTTTATCCCTGCACCCAAACCATCAACCCTCCTCTTCTTTTCGTCATCGTTTTTTTTCTTTTTTTTTCTTCTGGGCCGTGTCAGTCCAGTTCCTATTCCATTGGCAAATCTTCTTTACTTGGTCATTCCCTGCAGGTGCTTCCCAACCCTTCCCCCCCCMCCTTGTCTCTCCCAGGTTTTTTTTTTTTTTTCTCTCACGGTTTCTGCCTCTTCATCTCTCTGGCTTTGTGCTTCCATCATCCTCTTTTGTTTTTGTTTTTGTTAAAAAAAAAAAAAGGCTGTCTTCTCCTCATCGGGGTACAGCGTATGTATTTTTCTCTCAATTTTTCCTCACATATATGCAATTTTCTCAGCATGGGACGCTAAGGATTATGGGTTGGATTCCCGGCCTCCCGACTTCTCCCTAGTGGATCCCAGCCTCTTTTTTTTTTTTTACTCAACTCTGCTCTATGCGGGGAGCAGTACCCCGGCTCCTGACACCTGGCACAAGCTGGAAATCCATCATCCTCTTTCATCTTCTGCCTCAAAATGAGGCATATGAGCAAACGGAAACAAACGGAGCCCAATGCGAGGATCATGGAAGGCTGCTAAAGGGCAGAAAGCTTGAGGACGCGCAAGAGTGAAGAGCCGTGAGAGCAGCTATACCAACAAGTGTGGAGCAGTGAGAGCAACTATCCCTCACGAACAGGAAAAGAAAGTAGGTATCGCTGCTTGGTATCTACTTCGTAATCAGTACAACTTAGCACTCAACGTCGTCAGATTCTAGCGAAGGCACGTACGGAAATAAAAAGGAAGAAAAAGAGGAAGAAAAAGGTTGAAGCCTTGAAGGTGCTGCTTACCAACCAGATGTCCTAGCGAAGTCACATGAATCTGATGAAAAGGATGGCTGCATGCAGTCAAGACAGTCCACGAGGAAAAGGTGAGTCCTTATTAGTCTTACCCCCCGCATGATGGGCTAGAATCTCTCTCTCTCTCTCTCTCTCTCTCTCTCTCTCTCTCTCTCTCTCTCTCTCTCTCTCTCTCTCTCTCTCCTGTCTCTTATACACATCTAGATGTGTATAAGAGACAGCACACACACTCTCTCTCTCTCTCTCTCTCTCTCTCTCTCTCTCTCTCTCTCTCTCTCTCTCTCTCTCTCTCTCTCTCTCTCTCCGCCCCAGATTGCTTTCCATCTGATTGTGAGATTGTGTGTATCATCTGAAAATGTAATCACAGTTATAGATGCGAACTATTACCAGTGTGCTAGACTGTTCTGCTTCCGGTATCTTCTGAGTGTAGCTTGCTCTGGCCAAGGTAAGATCTAAAAGCTCTAGGCCTGCTATGATACCAACTTTCTCGAATAGAGTTTTCTATATTGACAGCTTTTCACCATGCCTTGGTTCTACCCTTATCTTGTGAGTGGTGATGTGTATATCATGTGAACTAACTGTGAGTTGTGGTTATAGTCTGACTTTTGACTTGCTACCTGCTGAGGGCCTCTCTTCCAGATCTATCATGGTGTTTTTCAAGACAGGGAGGGAAGAGGGGGAAAGACTAGAAGAAACAAAAACAAAAAAGAAAAGCACCAGGGGTACCTCTATCATGGGACATATTAAGAACACTCAATCGGTGCCCTTCACTGTCAGGCTGCATTTTGCACACCCCACTCCTCTGTATCCCCCAACCCACCCTCCAGCCCTTCCCCCCTTGTGTGTAGCGACAAAACTCTTTGAAGAAAAAAGACTAGGGCCTACAACAGTACCTTTGAACCTATTCCCACCCAAGTTGCCCCAACCTATCAGGGCCAACACACCTCAGCACTCTCCCAACCCAGTACCTGGTCTGGTTCAAGCCCTGAAAAAGACAATGGGGCCAAACCTCTAATCAGTGCCACCTGGTCCTTCTTTCCTTTTGAATTAAAAAAAAAACATAAAAATATATATAGAGAGAGAGAGTCAAACGGAGCTGCCTACGGTAAACCGTAGGCCAAGAGGGAGAAGAGGACAAGAAACGAGGGAGGGGCTGTGACAAACTGTTTTGTCGGAGCTTCACCGAACCCTCAATAGTCTGCAGAATCCCCTAACTGATTACACTGTAAGTGATAATCCACCTGACCCCCGGCTGTGGTTAAGCATCAACGACTGCAATCACAACTGATACCCCTCTGAGGTGGTGGGGACCACCAACCACTGCCCTCAAGGTTCCTGTGAGGAAAATCAAAGCAGACTTTCACTCACCCTCACCAGATGGAAAACTCTACAGACTGTCGGTTCACACCCCATCACAAGCAAGCAAAACACCCACGAAACAAAGAAAGGTCTGTCACAGCCAAAAAATACACTCCAGACACGCCGCTGGCACTAGAGGCACAGCATGGCCGCGTAGTGACAGCACCGACCACTGCCGCTCGACCTGACCGGAGAAAACCGTAGCAGGGTGCTAGCGAAGTCGTGATATATATCGTCAAACAGAGCTGCCCGGTAAAATGTAGGCAGAGACAGAGAAGAGGACAACAAACGACAGGCTGCGACAAACTGTTTCGTAGGAGTTTCACTGACTCATCAGAAGACAATATATATATATATATTTATATATATCGTCACAAATAGAACTGCCCGGTAAACCGTAGGCAGAGAGAGAGAAGAGGACAACAAACGACAGGCTGCGACAAACTGTTTCGTAGGAGTTTCACTGACTCATCAGAAGACAATATATATATATATATTTATATATATCGTCACAAATAGAACTGCCCGGTAAACCGTAGGCAGAGAGAGAGAAGAGGACAACAAACGAGGGGCTGTGACGAACTGTTTCGTCGGAGTTTCACCGACTCATCAGGAGGCTGAACCCTAATATATATATATATGAATGGTTTCCCTTCATGTTTGTCTTGTTTTTTTATTTTTTTGTTTCTGCCATTTGTTTTGCAAAGTGCGCTCTTTTAGTTCATAGTTATGTGACAATATATAGACATATATATATATGTTGGGGCAATTACCAGGCTTCATAAATAATGTCAGAACCACTATACGGACGGAGCTAATGTTTGATAGAATATCAGTGCCTGCCATGTAGAGGTAGTATGCACCCTCCCCTGATTGGCATTAAACCACCAGTTCACAAGAACCTGAGTAGTGCTCTTACCAGTATGCGCAGGAAAAGCTTTTCCATCGGGCCTGGGCCGGTAGTGAATGCGACAGGGCACTTTGAAAAGGCGCAGTTGCAGGCTCATGAACCTTGGTAGGTAGCCTTGTCAAATCAGGCTCGAGTGAGCCTGTGGTACAAGCAGATATTGCTGATGTCCGTAGGGAGAGGGGGGATCGGAGGAGGTGCAGCAACTGGTCGATCGTATGACGCTTGCTCCTGACACTGCCGGCTGACCCCTGCCCAGTATCGCCCACCTGTTGGTTGGGTGCAGCCTCCACATGTCCTCTTAGGGTGTTGCGTGACACTGCCCTGCGAGAGCCTTTCCCTGTCAGGCCCAGGGCCAGTCATGTTTTTTGCAGATTTGTTTTGTTTTGGTTTGGTTTGGTTTGGTTGTTTGTTTGTTCGTTTGTTTGTTTGTTTTTTCAAAACGAAAACAGAGCCTTGTCGCTCTGGCTCCATATCCATTCTGGGGAGCATCAGTCCGGCAGTTCCTATTCCACCGGCAGAGAAAGGCATCACCTGTTCACTGTAGGTCTAGACGTAGATTCTTCAGAGTCGGGGGGAGCTGTAAAGTTCTCTCTTACCACTGGTCTATTTGCTAGGAACCCCTATGAATCTTGGTCCTCCGAATTCTCACACTGAGGAACAATCCAAGATTCGGGGCAATCAGCAGGAAACCGAAGTTGTAGTGAAATTGTCACGAGTCATGACATTGAATATTTGGAATCGCTGATTACAACGAGTAGGATCCTCAGAGGCTATATGCCCAGCAACCATTCTATCTCTCTGGTTGACGACATAGTCCGATGCCATTAGGAAACTACCGTCTTCCCCCGAACACAACGCACCCTTATTTTGGCTGTATCTGGCCGGAAATATAGCTTGTATACGTTCCTTTTTAGGGTGCGTTATGTTCGGGGGAAGACGGTAGTGGTTGAAT